CGAGCTTGTGCTCAGCGACGATTGGTTGGCTGGATCAAGGTGTTAATTATATCACGAAGTCCGTATTTTGGACCAGGTGAATCCAGACCACGGCAGTTCAACTTTTGGACATCAAACAGATGAACGTGAGCCGGTAGTAGGTACCGGGTACGACGTTGGTATTCTGTTTAATAGTATGGGAAGCATGAAGCTCGAAAACAAGCAACATAAGTAGGTACATTTTGATTAGTTGATAATCTACTTATGTCTTCTATAGGTATAGGGAGCTTTCTATGTACCTACCTAGATAATGTTGCATCTGCGGTTTCAGGAATGGCCTATAGATTTGATTTGAAGTCCTTAGGACAAAGGCAAACTATTTCAACAAGAGGTTACGCATTTCAGACTCTGTTTACTGCCTTGCTTTGTGTTTGCTCAGCAATGATACGTTTTGCGATCCACATACTTAAAAAGAAGACATTCATTCACCGTGCGTTTGAAGCTGACAACTTGGATCCGACATAAATCCTGAGATAAGCAAATAACTTTTTCGACACCTTTCAGCAACAGGCTGCTTCTGTTTGGTAGCATCAGAACAATCGTGGAATGTTACTCAGGTGTATAGTTGAATATATGGTTGAATAGGTACTGCTCTTACCATATTTTGGGGGATCAACGATGCTGGTCTTCGAGAGCTTCATAGCGACAAATTCGGTCAAATGGTGAGATAGATGCTGCTCAGTGTTGCCGTCAACTTGTTCGGTCTTCAAAGCTACGCGATTGGGGTTGTGAAGCTGCTGTCGTCAAATTTTCACAAGGCCGAATTTTAACTTTTGGATAAAAATGCATTGTTTCTAAATTTCCATCAACTCTTGACTAGCCCTGGATGCAAACCCCTCATAAATGCAAATAAGCGAATCACGTGCGTGGTAAATGATTCACACTGATGAGGCATGAGCTGACAGCCAACAGTATAAAAACCAGCATTGGTGTGTACGAATAACAACCAATCGGCGACCAGCCTTTGACAAAGACGGCGGCCACGCTAGCTACCTGCGTTGCCGAGAATCGACGAGTCTGATGCAATAATGACATAAGTAAATGGGAACAGCTCCCATTTGGGCTGCCGGCTTCTATTGAGGCCAGTCACCATGCTACAATCGGTTACCTAGTGATGAGCTGTCAAGAGTTGCCGAGCAACGGCCCTTTCGAGGCCGTTGCCCGTTGAGCTGCTTGCCAAATGCAGCCTTATATGACAACCGACTTTCTAAGCTAGATACACCGCTGCATTGGATGTTATTACAAGCTACTATTACATTCACATGAAGCAATAAAGGAACCCTGTTCTATTAATAGCAATTTTACCCTTATATTACCGAGACAGAGAAACAATGTAAGAATTCCACCGGGTATTCTTACGACGCTGGCCCAAAATAACTCATTACATCTCTCATAACTGTGCACCTATTCTTGCACCTTATGATGCGAATCAGTCTAGGTGCCGATACTCATATCCGCCGTGCTTATTCTAGTTAACTTTTGCACTTTATTGACCTAAAGCAAACTAATGAGGAGCTCCTCACAAGATTGTGATAACTACTAGATGTCACACGGAGAGATGTGTATTACGGGACTCAGGGGGACTTTCTTGACCTTATCTTGGCGTCGGGGTACATAACATACCTACAAACAGCTTCGCATTGTTCTGCACGTATCCGGCATGCTTCCAATCGGTGTGAATGGTCAGTCGTCTGGGTCAATTACATTATTCATACTTTAATTATCAGTCACGTGTTTTGTTATTTGTCAGGTTATTCTTCACGACACATGTTGCTTGTTCGCCCGCTCCGGCTCGACTCTGGTCATACGGGAATCTCCGTCTGCAGTCACAAGACCGTCGCTAAGACCTTTCCGGAGCTCATTGGGTCGGCCGGGAGGGGTAGGGTAGTGATGGGGAGGGTCGGATTAAAAACGTGGCCCAACAAGACGACCGGAGGTTGTACCTAATCAAGCTACCCGTGTGGGTAGGGCAGGGTGGGGGAGGGGAGGATTAAAAGCGCGACCTATACCTAGACGCACCGCCTGGCGACCGCAGGGCGTGCACTGACCTCCATCAACGGACGGGCAGAACATGATCCGGTGCTTTCCAGATCGATGTCTTGACGCTATTCACGACTACGTAACGTCGAGATGTGACTCATTCCGCCGAGATCTGATACAGAAATATCTAATCTGAACATCCTGTAAGGCACGCGAGCGCCCGCCGATGACGCACAACGGCCATATATTCAGAAAGAACTGGTGTGCCGTGCAATGGAAGAATGCCGGTGCGTGGGAGTAGCCCAGCGTCGCTCCGCTGTACAGACACCGTCATGCAATATCCGATTGTCTCATCATTAGGTATATCAATACAACATGCTCCCGAAATGATAACGTCGTGAATGGTGTAAAGGTTTAAATAGATACATAGAATGGGTGTTGTCGATTCACAGATCATCATTTGTGCCCAAATAAACTGCGTGATTCTATAAACATCATCCAAAAAGAAGTCTTCAAAACTGTTGACCAGCTCCCGTATTGATGTTTTCACAGCCGCGTAAGTATGAAGGCGGGACTCAATCGGATCTTTCAGCCATTCGGCCTTTGATTGGGTTAGAGTTTCGCTAAAAAACATTGCTCCTGACGAGACGAAGTCAATAGCAGGTCAACAATTCTGAGGTTGTAGGTCAGCTATTGCCCTTCAGGTCAGATCATTGACGCACATATGGGGGAAAATCGTTACCAGCCAGATCTTCATGAAGTAATGGTTTGCTGGAACATTTGGGGTTCTGATTTCGGGTTCTGACATTTTGGGTGATGATGATTCTGAATTTGGCATTCGTTTTGTTCACTAGTGACATATTTGTACATTTGGGGCAGGCTAGGTCGGGTTAGGTCAACTATCAAGGCGTCCCGTCGGATATGCATAGTATAGATGTATACCGCCAATGACATCTTCGCCACATGCGACAAGGGTTCGAATGAATTCAAGCCCACGAAAACGAATTCCTCAATGCCTAACCCGCGCCCCGCTGCACTGGCGTTCCTTTATTTCTACTCGCTGCTGGAAGGGAGAGGTTAAACACCCCTTTCTTTCCACACGTGCCGAATAGATGACCCCGGTAGAAAATCTCAGAAACTCTCCACTGCTCGCAACACAAAATACTTTCCCTGGGTGCTCTGATCGACTTAAAGCACTTGAATTTAACTGCAGGACATTCTTCGAACGCACGCGCGCTGGGTGTTCGGACAAATGGGCTTTACTGGACACGGTCGGCGCGTCTAATGGAATTACGGCTCCCGGGAGGAGTCAGCCAGAGGTGCCCGGCTCTGACCGGTCGGCGGACAGAGGTCTCCCACGTGCCGTCTCACGGGGGTCGTTCACTGTCACCTAGGGGAGTCATTTGTCTGGCCAAAAATACACCGACCGGCCGTCCGATCCGCATTGCGACACCGTCACGATAAGGTCGAATCAGCAAATGATTCTGACTACAGTGAAAGCGAATTGGCATGCATTGGAGGTAACAGATCATCATTGACTTGCCTGGTTGGGTTACTTATTACAAAGATGATTGTAAAATCGGCTGCTTTCAGAGGTCAATTGTTTAAATTGTGTCTAAGCTTGTTACATATTTACGGTGCTATTATCTAATGTTATCGCTACCAACACGCTCAACGTCTGGTGAATTATAGTGCCAATTTTCAGAAGATTATCATCCAACTAAATGAAGTTAACTAGCTGCATTTAGAGCACTTCACGGATAGGCTTTTTAGGATCCGGCCCGGCCCATATCCGGCAAGTCATATCCAGATCCGCCCATTATCCGCCTTTCTTTGAATATCAGAATCCGGCCCACCCATGGCCCGTATTGCAGCCAAACTTCCAAAAAATATCCGTAATAATCCGTTTCACCAATTACTGGTTTCACCCAAAACTGGACTAACAAATTCAATCTAAGGGACCAGACAGCCATACATCTCATAGACCATCATGGTTCCAAAAACCATGCATACATTGCATACATCATCCACTTGAAGACAAGTCTTGTGACAAGTGAGTGTCATAAAATGATGCCTATTACTTTAATCAAACCTCTGCTGCCGCTTAACACAATAGGTTAATTTTTAACTTCATTGTTGAATGTTAAAATTTTGATCCGTTTTGATCCGGGTTCAAATTTCAATTCCCAAATCCGGCCCGCCCATATCCGTTTTTTTTAACAAATTTAGAATCCAATCCTATCCGGTCCGCGGATTTATCCGTGGATAACGGATTTATCCGGCCCATGAAGTGCTCTAGCTGCATTGGACAAGCATCTACTTTGCTGTTAACTGAACTCTATTATCAGGGGAATTCAAATAGCAAGTTCGGTCATTTCTGCATAATGTGATAAGTTCACCTTTGTCCGACATGGCAAGGGCGCCACCACAGCCACTCTGAATAATAGCAAATAATCAGGGTGTGCATCCTGCAAATGCCGATCGTTGGACATATGTATGGAGAATATGGACTAATATTTCATATTGACGCCATTTGAATTCGGACCGTACTATTCTATGATGACCTGGGCACCGAACTTTGTAACCGCCAGACATTATTGGCGCGACCGGATCACACTCTTTGACATAAGCCTGAGTGATCAGCGTCCCTTCTAATTTCCTTGAGCGGTGACATTTAAACTCACCCTCAATTAGCGGTGAGGGCACACCACGGGGTAGCCGGCCGGCCGCTAATCCCCCCCCCCATTGACCCTGCCCGGCCTCCCGCCGGGTCTGAGGGGGCCAGCGGTGCTCCTCGGTCGTTAGTGACCAACTTCCCACCAGATGTGGATTTCGGGCACCGTTCTTATCTTGTTCTTATCAGGAGAAGGGTGAGAGCGGAGCAAGGGGACGCCAGCGGAAAGGGGAGGAGCCTGTATCCCCGAAAATGTGACGTCTTAGTGGTTCTGTATGGTCCGAAAAGGATCGTTGATATAGCCGAGGGTGTAAATCGGTGTGTCATTCGCTTGTGAGGCCTCGAAGAAGTGTGAGCTGTCCGGTTGTGAGTGTGTCTGTGATTGTGAGGCTTTTCTGTGAGGTGAAGATGGAGTGCTGCGCCGTTCTGCCTGAGCTGTCGCTGGAGGAAGTGTTGGCGTATTTTGAGGTAAATATATGATCGATTGACGATTTCAAGCTGTTTTTATGATGAATAAATCTCTTTTATTTCGCATTTGTTCCGTGTATAAATGATCCTCATCGAGCCATGTCAAATTGTGCATTGTAATACGCTGCCTTCATCACAATATTGGACGTTTTTTAGACATTTTTTAGACTATAAGTTATTCGCAATATGTCAGGACTCAGGGCGATAGAAAAGCAGGTCCACGTAATTATTTGATTATAACTATGGGGCCGTTGCACACATTTCTTTCGCTGATGAAACTCTCTCAGAACGAAATGCGTTTCACTCTATTTTAATTAGGTACCATTACGGAGCCCCAAACCTGAAGCGGACACGTGTGACTTCACAACACATTTCCTCTAACCAGCATCATTGCTCTCCCACAGAGCATCGGGGCTCCGCTGGTCTTCGAGGTCCCCATATCGCGGAAACGATGCTGGGTGCCTGAGCCCGAGAGCGACGCCAGCCAGCCCAAGAGGCGCTGCAACTCAGGCGCTGGCGTTCCGGCGGCGAAGTCGGCAGTGTCGGAGCCCAGGCCGGCGACCGGTGTGGTCATGCGCCGGCCACGACTCCCCAAGCTGGGGTACCTCCAGGTTCGAGAGCTGCTGGGCAGCATGGCCGCCCGTCTGGAGGCCAGCCATGAGGATGGACAAGAGGGCCTCGAGCCGAAGGAGATGCTGCCGCTGAGGAACCGAGCGCTCATTCACGCTACACAGCAGTGGTGCTTGAGAAAATATAAGGTACGTGCTCGGCTGTTGTTTATGGAGATGATGTGTTTGGAAATAATTATGTATATGAGAATGCCACTATTCGGATTTACTTTTACCAAAGTACACCTTTTTATGTGAGCACACAAAGCGCTTTGTCGAAATGTCTAATGTGCGAAAAAGAGAACGCACCGAAGGGGCACAAAGCAAATTTATATTTCCAGGGCATGCTTAATTTCTAATCGTATGCCATTGTTTACATGCAAAATACAGTACACAGCTGTGTCTCCCGACCGTCCTATCAGCACGTCCGAAAGCGACCTCCGCTAACAGAGTTCTCTGTCTTTGCAGACGGCTCTGCAGCGGGAGGAAGCTGTGCTGGGCCGGCTTCGGAAGTGAGGCCGTGACGGGAGGGGCCGGAGCCGAAGGGGGGGGGGGGGGGGCGCTTGCGGGGCTAGGACAGTGGAGAGTAGGGGGATATTTTGTAATTGTACGGGTAATCGTGAGTGAATCACAACGTGCAATGAGCTCCGTCTGCGTTTTGTGACTGCGTTTTTAGTGATATACTCACCAGTCTGTGATTATGTGCAGGAGCTGTTGCTCTTCAAGTGATAAACAATCATAGTCCATGTAGAGTAGGTAGAGTGCTTTTACGACTTGGCGATAACTCGTAAATTTGTTGTGATGTGTAGTTCCTGGATGCAGATCATGGATGTGCCGTCGAGTGATTGCTGTCTTCATATTGTTTACCTAAACATGTTCACTGCTAGTTGTTTCTAGCTGAATGTCCATTTTCATCCATTGTTTATCATTCGTACTCGTGGCGTGTAATGTCTGAATGGTGCTTGACATTCAATAAACTGCCTCGATTCCGTTGACTGTGTTTTGTGGGCAACAATAATAGGCAAATAAGCAATGACACTGGATTTGGTGAACGTTGGGACACGGCTGTCTAATGGGCGTCACACAAGTTCTAAACAGCGGCGCGATGTGAATTATCCAGAACGGCGGCTAACGGCTAAGAAAAACATCACGACAGAAACCAAGATACTTTAAAGAAACGTCGTAACCATCGCCCGGCGAGGGGGGTTGATGCACCCCCTAAGGTTTTCGCAAATAGCGTAAAAACGGCTAGCGCCGCCAAATTTTGTTTTAATTAGATTTTCACATTTTAATTTTTTACCCCAAAACTCCCCTAAATATTGACCTAGAGTCACCAAATTTGCACAGGGGCGAGATCTCCTACGGGCCCACATACACTGTTAAGTGTAAATTTGGTGTTTCTAAGTGCCATAGGAGCCAATCGCCAGGGGAGAAGAGTCGTACCCCCTCGCGTTATAAAAAAATGCCCTCGCCTGGCGAGGTTTAACATTGCGTAGGCATGAGGACCGAAATCTGTCTTCCATAAGCAATGGAAGAATCTTAGCTGACAGCCCTTTGGGAAGAATCTTAGCTGGAGTAAATGTATTACTGAAGTGATCCACTCACCGCCAACCAGTCATTAGAGCAGGCTTGATTACTTGGGTAAATAACGGTTATCTACCAAAAAGTCGTTTTCTGAATATGCAAAACAGGCTGAGCGTTGCGATCAATGACTTCTGGGCTGATCATTGAGATGGCTATATAATAAGATCATAGCCAGGCAAGGCACAGGGACACTTTTACATGCACGTCACTTTCACTCAGCTTCAGGGGCATGTGGAAAAATCGGAGGGTCCTTTGAAAGCAATTAGAAATTGTTTTGATTCAGTATTTTTCGAGTCAAGGTAGAAGTCAATGTCATCAGAAATAGAAGTCAAAGTTACTCCATATAAAAAAGTTTAAAAATGACTCGTGACCTAAAAATATCAAAATATCAACATAACAAATTTACAACAGATCAAACATCATCATGCGCAAAAATTAATCCATTCCTTTTGTGGAGACAAACAGGTCCACAGTGTTTCCATTGCTCTAACGTCTCTTTTAAACACCAGCGCAATCAAGTCATTCAAAGAACCGGCACAATTGCTTCGACTTGTTTGATTTCTCGGCTCATTTACAATGCAGCAGTCTCTACTACAACTTGTCGTGCCTAGAGCGGCCCCGCGCAGCACCGCGCCGCGGCTCGCTCGGCCCCCGCCCGGCGGTACAGCAGGCGCACAGGGGCGGTCACGTGAGCGGTCACGTGGGTGGTCACGTGTGCAGTCCCCACGAGGCCGCGACGGTGACCGGGCAGATCAGAGATCAGAGGGCGCAGAGTCGCCGACGTGGTCGCCGAGTTGGGACTGCGAGGTACGGGGTGCTGCGCTCAGCGCTTTGTCACGCAAAGTGAATATCGTTTTCTTGACGATAGGTTGGGTTACGGATATTTTGAATGCAGAATATTCTCCTATGCATCTCTTCACAATGGGTTAATAGTCTTAGCCACCTAACTCAATAGTTTTAACCACGTTACAATGTTCCACCACCTGTGTGTCAATCGAACAATTAAGTCCCTGTTCTTATTGTAAGAGGAAATTTAGCATTTTCCTTTCCACAAATATGCAATATCAAACATCGTGACACAGCCATCGTGATGAACAGTCGGCTCGAAATAAGCTACTTAACAATTGTTTTAAAGCACCGAAAATAGATGTATGCGACGGGTATGGAGTTCAGTTACAAATAGAGCCATCAACGTTACGACGTTCCTTTCACCTTCCTAGCGCTTCTTAGCTTCTTGTCTTCTTCGTTACGGGCTCCTCGTGCAGCGGCTAGGAGAGACGGTGGCACCAGCTGTGAACTCTGGTCACATTGTGAAATTTGCTTTCACCTGTGAATGCAAGTTGATATTGTTATGGCGGCGTCACCTGTAATGAACGCGGTCTTCCAGAAATCGCCAAGGCACTGATACAGTGACTGCCTCGGTGGCATCGTCTGATGCATTTTCGTTCCGCCTTGCTACACTTGATCGGCTGGCACATTTCCTCACACGTGCAAGTCCATTTCAGTATTCCCTGACCGCTGCCACCGGATACCAGGCGGGCCACTCTCGGAGCGGGAGTGGTTCGACATACTGAACGGCTCACTGATGTTTAGAAACGTGCCCCTGCAGACCGCCAGCATCAAACCGTAAAACTGGACTTTCAATGGCCGTGTTTGGCGCCGGACATCCCTCACCTCATCGGAGCAAAGCTTTTGTTATTTTCTAGCCGTTATTTTATCACGGCTGGAAAATAACAATAGTTTGTTATTTTCCATTAGCAATAGTTATTTAGCTATGTTCCGCAAAACTATTGTTATTTCATTACACAACACAAGGTGGCAGCGAGCAGCATTGCCAAATCATACCTAGAGATTAGGGAATTCTGCCGCAGAAGTATTCATTGCCTAATTTGTGATGCAGTAGAGCAGAACAAGTGAGGCAGAATTACTGCATTTTAGGTAGGCATCGTAAAGTAGGGTAACTGTGGGGAAAACGCACCCCTGGGTTAAACGCCTCCCCTAAAAAAATCGTATTTCTTTTCGACGGATAGGTGTTTTATCCTGTCTTTCTGAACAGTCAGCTGCTTGTTTACGTAGGTTTCTATTTCCGGTTCTGCGTCTTGAGGAGCAGCGTGGGTAGGTGCTGATGTTGGTTTTGGGTGTGGTTTTTGGTGTTTTTACAGAAGATTCCTAATATTTTGATGCCCTCTTTATATCACAAAACTTGCTATTGTGCACATCACTCAAAACTGCGTTTTATTGTCATTCTGTTGAATGTATTATGCTGCGGCGTTAGTGGCGCGTTTTTTTGTCAATATTTTGTTGACCGGAAATGGAGTGGATGGGGCAAGACGCCTACTCGATGCATGGGGCAAGACGCCCCCAGTTTTCTGAAAGGGGGGGCGTTTTGCACGGTGGTGAGAGTGCAGGGTAGCGCCCTGTAGGTCGGGGCCGAAAAGGCCTCTCCCTGTCCTTTTTTGCTGATATATCCTAAACGACTGCAGATATCGTCACCAAACTTTCAGGACTCCTCCGGGCATCCATTTTACACATTGCAACAAAATTTTATTCCAAAGGCTATGATAGGTTGACCACAAATGACGTCAGAATGACATCAAGTTCTGCCATGTTCATCATTTTCTGTTGATGGATGGGGTGGGGGCGCTTTGCACATGGGTGTGGGCGTATTACCCAGGGTATGGGGCAAAACGCCCTTTTGTAAGGGTATGCGAAAACCTTTTTGGGGGTTAAATACCACACGCAGGTGTCTTTGCTTGGTCTCAAAGCGTAGTAAAAAGATTGAGCTACATGATGGTGCCCAAAGGTTTAAGTAATCTGTGTTGGGTTGAGTATCAGAAGGTTTCGCGCTTAAGGGGGGCGTTTTTGACCTATTCACCCTATAGGAGTGCAATAAATAACCATGGTATTTATTACACTATGGTATATATCTTTCTTGATTTATTTAAGTGCTGCATTTCAGTTAAAATGTCATGAAGTCTTTTCTCGCATTGATATACAAGAAAAAAGTTAAAGGGACTATCCCACCTTTAACATGGGGTTTGAGTTGAAATAGCCAAGTTTGCGGCGAGGTTCAGAAACCACTATCTATCTAGGTTGCAACCCCCGCGGCCTCTTGGTGTTGAAGAAATTCGTTCCCTTCATTTGAAAATGGGTCTTGTACAAGGCCCTATCTTCAACATGGAGCGACCGTTAGTGTGACGTCACCTCGTTTAGTCATTCTGATTTAAATGGGTTTGTTCGTTGAAAAATCGCCTAAAATTTGGTCTGAACTTTGTTGTTGTGCCTACAGAGTAAAAAGAATCAGCTTTATGACAGTAATGTGGCCTGGGGAAGGAGGTAATTTTGGGCTGTGACGTCACATATTTGAAAGTTTGTGTTTGGAATATGGGAAGCCTAAGATGTTTAATGAAAAATGAATGCCAGAACCGTGTTCCTGGTCATCCAATCTATAAAGTCGGGCACAATTTAACTGGTTTTAACAACATTTTAGAAGGTGGGATAGTCCCTTTAAATGCAGTAAAACGCGCATAGTATGTCGCTAAACAAAACTAATTGGCCAATGGTCATTGTTTGTCTATTAGCATTAGCACGCCACGCAGTATTCCATCGCCCAATCACAGGTGCAGGTAGGCATTGAATGTAGTCGTTGATGCAGCTTGGTTGATTATTACTCTGTCGATTATTTGGTCGCTTGACACCTGTATGACGATTTCCCAGTATGTTTCTCTGCTGATTTCTGGCTCTGTCAACGTCTGGAATTCCGACTCGGAACGATGGGACCGACGTCCAGGCTGCTCTCCACACTTCTGGGTCCCGTCTGCATTTGCTGGGCCTGTCGCTGCCGGCCGGAAAATAGCAATAGTTTTGCCCAAGATTTTCAGTCATGCACAACTTACGCACAAGTTACACCACAGTTATAATCAAAGTAAAGACATATTCAATA